CTGTAGCCCCAGCTGTCCTGGAACTCACTATGTAGACCAGGCTAACCTTGAACTCAGAGATCTGCTTGCCTCTGCCTCCCGAGTGCTGGGATTAAAGGCGTGTGCCACCAGGCCCGGCTCTATTTATTTATTTATTTATTTTTTCAATTTGAGACAAAGTCTAACTTTGTAGCCTAGGCTGGTGTGGAACTCCTTAAGTAGACCAGGCTGGCCTCAAACTTGTGATCTTCCTGAATCAGGCTCCCAAGTAGCTGAGATTATAGGCTTGCCTAAGTATTATTTTTAAAATTAAAAAGTAATACATAAACATTAAAGTAAACATACACATTTTAGGGCTGGAGAGATGGCTCAGGGGTTAAGAGCACTGACTGCTCTTGCAGAGGACCTGGGTTCAATTCCCAGTACCCACATGGCGGCTTGAACCATCCTTAACTCCAGTTCCAGGGTAATCCGAAGCCCTCTTCTGACCTCTGCAGCATTGCATGACATGGGTGCACTCACATACATGCAGGCAATACACTCATACACATAAAAAATATATACATTTTGTTGTTTGTGTGTGTTATGTGTATATGTACAGGCTCATGTATGTTCAAATGTATGTGCCAATGTGTGTGGAGGCCAGAGGATGATGCTGGGTATCTTCCTCAATCACTCTCCGTCTTATTTATTTTTTGAAGACTTATTTTTATTTTTTAATTATGTGTATGTGTGGGGGCTATGCGCATATGAGTGCAGGTGCCTGTGGAAGCCAGAAGAGGGTGTCAGATCCCCTAGAGCTATAGTTTTGGTGGTTGTGAGCCTCCTAACATGGGTCCTGGAGTTGAACTTGGGTCATCTGCAAGGGCAGTATGTGCTTTTAACCATCGAGTCATTTCTCTAGCTCTTCCTCTTATTTTTGGAGCAGGATTTCTTATTGAACCATGAACTCATCAATTTATCAGGATAGTGGCAGGCCCCAGGGATCTGCCTGTCTCTGTCTTCTCAGCTTGGGTTACAGACATGCAGCATCATACCCAGCTTTCTTTTTTCTTTCTTTTTTTTTTTTTTTTTGAGACACGGTCTCCCTTAGGTCCAGCTGACCTGGAACTAACTATGTAGATCAGGCTGGCCTTGAACTCACATAGCTCCACCTGCCTCTACCTCCTGAGTGCTGGGACTATAGGCGTGCACCACCATTCCCAGCTTATACCCAGCTTTCTGTGTGTGCATTAGAGAGCTGAACGCGGGTCCTTGTACCTGTGTAGCAACACCTTGTTTGCTGAGTTATTTCACCAGCTCTATTTTGTTGTTGTTGTTGAGATAGGGTATTGCTAGGTTGCATAGACTGGCCTCAAACTTCACCTCCCTCAGGCTGGGATTGCAGGTGTGTGCCTCCAGGCAACTGAGAAAAGTTTTGGGGGGGTTTGTCTTTGCAGTTTATAAACTAATGAGGAAGTGGATCAAGAAGCTAAATAATTATAGGTTGTGATAAGTGCTATGGAATGAAAGCTATTTGCAGGTTGAATGCTTGGGCAGGGACATTCTGAAAGGTCAGCATGTAGTCTGACTCATGAAGACTTAATACATAGTGACATGAAGAATGAGCAGAAAAGCATTTCAGGCAGAAGGAACAGCAAAACAAGACCAAAGGAAGATGGCCTGATGTGTAGAAACAGATGGAACTGGATGGTGTGTGGGAAGTAGGGGGCTTCCCAGGGGGAGGCTTGGGGTCAAGCAGGGCACATGCTAGCAAGTCCTGGCAGGTCATTGTGAGTAATTAGAATTTTAAAAAGATCCACTTGTAAATCCAGTATAACCCAGATGGTTTAAGAATGAAGACCTTAGGCCAGGCATGGTGGCACATGCCTTTAATCCTGGCTCTCAGGAGGCAGAGGCAAGTAGATCTCTGTGAGTTTAAGCCCAGCCTGTTCTACATAGAGAGTTCCAGGCCAGCTGGGGCTACAGGGAGACCCTGTCTCAAAAGCACCAAAAATAAATAATAAATAAAAGAATGCAGACTTCAGATGTTTCTCTTCTAGACTTGATTGATTTGGTCCTTTGCCCTTAAAGCTCTAAAAAAAAAAAAAAAATACATGCACCTTTTCCTGGTGATACTAGGTTCTATTTGGCAACTTTTCCCTAAAAGGTCAGTATCTGTTATCCTTAAAATCTGTGATTGCAGTTCTTTTTTTATTAAAATACTTTGTTATTTTTATTTTATGGGTATGAGTGTTTTGCCTGCATGTATACAAGTGCACCTGTGTCATACATTGCCCTCGGAGGATCCCCTGGAGCTGGAGTTCTGGATGGTTCTTAGCCACCTTGTAGGTGCTGGGAATTGAATCCAAGTCCTCTGCAAGTGCAGCCAGTGCTCTTAAGCACTGAGCCATTTCTCCAGCCCTTTGCAGTTAATTCTTTAAAATTATTTTTTAAAATGTTTTATTTATTATTTTTATTTTTTGTATATGAGTGTATTGCCTGTATGTATGTAAGTGCACCCATGTGGTAGAATGCCCATGGAGGTCAGAGGAGAGCGTTGAATTCCCTTGGAACTGGAGTTACAAATGGTTTTTAACCACCATGTGGGTGCTGGGAATTGAACCTGGGTTCTCTGCAAGAGCAGTCAGTGCTCTTAACCACTGAGCCATCTCTCCAGCCCCTAAAATTATTTTAAATTTACTTATTTTTATTTCATGTCTATGAGTGTTGCCTACATGTATATAAGTGCATCACATGCATACAATACCGACGTAGGCCAGAAGAGGGCATCAGATTCCCTGGAACTGGAGTTACAGATGGTTGTTAGCTGCCATGTGGGTACTGGGAACCGAACACAGGTAGGTCCTCTGCAAGAGCAGCCAGTGCTCCAGCCCCCCAGGCCCTTCTAATGTAGAAGTTTGGATGCTCTTCAGAGTTCAGTGGAAATTCATGGTTTTGAGTAGAGGAGTAGCTGGATCTAAACTTGTGATGTCATTAGCTGGGTGTAGTAGCAATGCCTATAATCCTAGAACCTGGGAGGCTGAGGAAGGTTTTTTGTGAATTGAGGCTGCGATAAATCATTGAAATCTGTATTAAAAAAAACAAAAAACAACCCAAAAACTACCAAACAAACAAAAGCCTAGTGAAACAAGTAAAAGTCTAAATAAATAAATTGACAGGAGCCAAAAGTGGGCTCATGCCTGTAATCGTAGTACTTGGGAAGTAGAGGCAGGATGATCAGAAATTCAAGATCATCCAGGGCCACATGAGAGACAGCCTGTTTCCTTCCTTCCTTTCTTTTTTTTTTTTTTTTGGTCTTTTTGAGACATGGTCTCCCAGGAGCTCCAGCCGACCTGGAACTCACTAAGTAGACCAGGCTGGCCTGGAACTCAAAGAGCTAAGCCTGCCTCTGCCTTAGTGCTGTGATTATAGGTGTGCGCCACCACGCCTGGCTTAATGAGAGCCTGTTTCTAAAAAAAACAACAGGAACCAAAAAACCTAAAGAACAAAGCAAAACCAAAATAATCCCCCTTCAAAATAATAAAATTTTGTCTGGGGAGGCAATTTATTTATTGAGAACACCTCAAAATTCATTTGTTTAGTTTTAGTTTTATGTGTATGAATGTTTGCCTGCGTGTGTTATAAGTGCAACATGCGTGCAATACCCACAGAGGCCAGAAGAGGGTGTTGGATTTCCCTTTTCCCCTAGAACTGGACTCAGGATGGCTGTGAGCTGCCATGTGGGTGCTGGGAACCTGACCCGGGTCCTCTGCAAGACCAGCCAGTAGTGCTCTTAACCCCTGAGCCATCTCTCCAGCCTTACTTCATTCTTTTTTTTTTTTTTGTCTTTTTTGAGTTGGGGTTTACCTGTAGCCCCAGCTTCCCAAGTGCTGGAATTGAAGGTGTGTGCCACCTCGCCTGGCACTTGATTCTATTTTTAACTGTGCTCTTCAGACCTGTTTCTGTAATTCCATAGTTCTTCCTGTCTGCACTGCCTTGTGCCTGGTACTGTGTAGTATAGGGTCAATGATGACTTGGGCTTCTGTTCCAAGACATTTCGGCTAGGTCCCCTGTCCTGCTGGTGATGTGACTGGGGCACTTTTGCTGTTTCTCCAGCTTCTACTCTCCAGAGATGAGATCCTGCAGGTGGCTAGCACCCACTGTATAATTGCAGTGCTGGTCCACTCCCCCGCAAGGCATGCCCCAGCCTTCATTCATGCTGACATCCCAGGTATGGAGCCCTCATGCTTTCTTTCCCAAGATCTGCAGAGTTCTGATTAGAGCTTTGAGGGTCACAGCAGCAGCAGCATTGCCAGATCTTTAATAACTCACACTGGAGAGGTAGGGTGGGAATAAGATCAGTTGTATATGAAACTGTTAGGACAGCTGAATCCTTTTGCTACCTCTTTCTTTTCTTTTCTTAAAATGCTATTTATTTATTTATTTATTTATTTTTTTGCCTTTTTGAGACAGGGTCTCCTTGTAGCCCCAGCTGTCCTGGAACTCACTATGTAGACCAGGCTGGCCTCGAACTCACAAAGATCCACCTGCCTCTGCCTCCCAAGTGCTGGGATTAAAGGCGTGCACCATCACGCCTGGCCTTAATACTATTTTATTTTTATTTTATTTTATGTGTATGTGTGTATTGCCTGCGGAGCACCCGTGTCGTGCAATGCTCACGGAGGACAGAAGAGGCTGTCGGATCCCCTGGAACTGGAGTTACAGACAGTTGTTAGCTGCCATGTGGGAGCTGGGATTCGAACCTGGATATTCTGCAAAAATTATATGAGAATAGGGAATGTCTATAATTTTTGAAGGTTTGTACATTGTTATTGAGGAGAATTGAGCCTCAGAGAAGGGAAATAACTGTTTCAATCAACAAGGTTAGTTATTGGCAGAGATGTGCTATACAGTGAAGGGCCTTTTAGCTCCAGCTGGCCTGGAACTCATTATGTAGACCAGGCTGGCATGGATCTTACAGAGATCTACCTGCCTCCACCTTCTAAATGCTGGGATTAAAGGTGAGTATCAGCATGCTTGGCTAAAGACTCTTTTTCTGTATCATGTTGATGTGCATTTACCTGCCCCAAGAGTTAGAAGAAATTCCAGTCTCTGTCAAGAAGAAATGACTTTCACTATTTCTAGTTGTGACTTCTGGGTCTCAATTTCCCCATCTGGAGAAGTGGCTCAGTGGTTAAGAGCACATTCTGCTGAGTTCAGTTCCCAGGAATCTTGTCCAGCGGTGGCTCACAGCTGCCTGTAACTCCAGCTTCTGGATGATCCAATGCTTCTGACTGCCTGCACTTGCATTCATATACACACACATAATTAAAAAAATAAATAAAATCTTTATGTACATATGTAAAGGTTATATATAATACTTATATATTATATTATATATATATTGGTCTTTTTGAGACAGGATCTCCCTGTAGCCCCAGCTGGCCTGGAACTCATTATGTAGACCAGGCTGGCCTTGAACTCACAGAGATCCCCCTGCCTCTGCCTCCTGAATGCTGGGACTAGAGGCATGCACCACAACTCTCAGCTTAATTCTTTAAATATATATTTTATTTTATTTATTTATTTATTTTTAATTTTATATGTATGAGTGTATTGCCTGCATGTGTGTGAGTGCACCCATGATGTGCAGTGCCGCGGAGGTCAAGAAGGCTTCGGATTCCCCAGGAACTGGAGCTAAAGATGGTTCATAGCCGTCATGTGGGTGCTGGGAATCAAACTCGGGTCCTCAGCAAGAGCAGTCAGTGCTCTTAACCGCTGAGCCATCGCTCCAGCCCCCCACATCTATATTTTAAAGAGTAAACATAAAAACAAAACAACAAAAACCTTCATGACTCTGAGGACACTTTCTAGGTTTATCTGTAAATTGACCATTTCTCACAGAGAAGGTGTGAGCTGATGAAAGAAGAAAGAAGTGAGTGAGTTCAAAGAGCAGGCTCAGCTGGGCGTGGTCACGCACGCCTTTAATCCCAGCACCAGGGAGGCGGAGGCAGGCAGATAGATCTCTGTGAGTTCGAGGCCAGCCTGGTCTACATAGTGAGTTCCAGGACAGTTGGGGCTACAGGGAGCCCCTTTTTCAAAAAAAAAAAAAAAAAAAAAGAGTAAGCTCATAGGTTAAAGGACCATGATCTCCGGTGCCATTTACTGTTTCTCTCCTCCCTGGCCAGAGTTCCTCTTTGAGCATCTCTCCTCTTCCAGCGAAGTGCTTGTCTGGTCCAGCTACAACTGCCTGATACTCCTAGCGGAAGAGCCACTCTTCTTTTCCAAGTGCCACACAGTGTATGGTTGGTAGTGTGGGTCTTGTGCTGGGTTTCACGGACAGCAGTTTCCGGTTGGGTAGCAGCAGCAGTGTTTACGGCAGGACTGGCATCCCCTTTAGGGATGGAGCTCAAACTCGTTCCATATGTAAACACTGGTCTCTAGATGCTTCTGTGCAGGCTTTATCTAGGGAGGACCACTCTTATTAATCATTAAACGAATTCTGGTTGCACATTAAGCACATTTCAAACAATTACACTCAGCCTTGGATTCAGTCCCTTATATGCCTTGGGTATCTGTCCATCTAGTTATCTCTTAAGATTTTCTGATTCACCCCCCAGGGTCTTGAAACTGCCCTCTCCCCTTCCATACTGATGATCTTTCCTTATCTGGGATTTCTAATATTGTTTTTTTGAGTGGAAATACTCAAATCATTTTGATTCTATGATTCTAGTCTGTGTCAGTTACCAGACTGGGACCTGGAACCTTAGAAATATGTGTAACATGGTCTCTGCTCCTAAGGAGAGATGTTAACAGGTGATTTTACCACAAGCCGATATGAACAGGTCTCCTAACCACAAGCAGAAGGAACTCAGGGGCAGTTCACAGCTTTCCCGAAGGTAGCAGGGAAGGCTTTCTGGAGGAGCAGATACTGGACCTCATTCTTTAAGGAGGAACAGAAAGAAGTATGCCAAGTGGGAAGATGCGTGGTCAGTGAACAGTTCCTCAACACCGCCGCTTGTGCCTGAGCCTTTGCTATGACTTGTGCTTGGTGTTGGGAAACAGAATGAATCAGATGAGGGCCTGCACTTGAAAATTTCACAGCTGGGTCTTTTCTCATTCCTCTACCCAATTTTTTCTTTCTGGTGCTGGGAATTAAACCCATGGCCTTCTGCATGCTAGACTAGCACTCTATCACTGAGCTTTGTTACTAGCCCTGGATCTCATCGAACCAGCTCACCTTTGTTAGGGTCTCTCCACAAGAGGCCTCAAGCTAGCTGCTTAGAGTGTGTCACCCCTCCTGGGTGGGCAATGGAGGAAGTCCAGGGCACTGATCTCTATCTGTGGTGTGTTATCCTGAGGTAGGGATCGAGGCGGTAGTCAGGAGCCTACGGGGAAGCCTGAAGATGTCCAACACAGAACTGCACAAGCAGGGCCTGCTGCTCCTGGCTGAGATTCTGACTCGGTAAGTGAAGAAGTGGGGTGTTGGACTGTTGAAGGAAAAGTCAGCTTTTACTCCTGGTAGGGCCAGGAGTGGAGCACTTATTTCTCGTCTGCCATTTCGTAGGCAGCCAGAAGAGATCAGGCTGTTCACAAGTTCAGCCATGTGCAGAGATGCGAGTCGTGCCCTCCAGGAGGCAGTAAGCAGTCCTGTGTTGGATGTGGCTGCCGAAGCCGTGAGGACGATCTCTGCTTTCATGAGGTCAGAGACTGGCAGATGCCTCATGTCCCTGAGAGCCTGGCAGGGGAGGCAGCTTCCCAGGACTTTTTCTGTTATTGTTCTTTATTATAGTAGTTTTTGAGACAGGGTCACTATGGAGACCGGGCTGGCCTTGAACTCACAGAGATTCACTTGCCTCTGCCTCCCAAGAGCTGGGATTAAAGGCGTGTGCCACCACGCCTGGTAGTAGTTTTATTGAGACAGGGCCTCATAGTAGCCCAGGCTGGCTTGGCACTTACTATGTAGCCCAGGCTGGCCTCAAACTCACAATAGTCTTCTCAGTTTCCTAGTACTGGAATTATGGATCTGAGCCCCTCGCTTGACTTGACATCTTTAATCCTTTTTCTTTCTTTTTATTGAATTTTTATTGAAAATTGGAATGTTTACAAATTTCATGCAATCTATTTTGATTATATTTAGACCTCTTCCCCTGTCTGCACCCTTTATTGCCTCTACTTGATTCCTGATTTTATATAC